TGGCCTTTTCAATTTCCTTTTTTAAAAAATATTTTTGTCCCTAGCATTAGAAACCATTCCACCTAACTGGACAAGCATTCTCAGGGATCAAAACCATGAAGCAAATGAGTGAAACTTCAATGGAAGGTATACTAGAGTTCGGTTGTCAAAACATGGCCCACATAAAGTGCAACATAAGGGAGAATTACAGAATGCTCAGTAGAGCAAGCAAGGAAAATGATGAAGAAATGCAGATAGCAAAAGATACTACAACAATATCTAGAACAAGCACTGATGACTACCAAATTTGAGATGGAAAAATATTCAACATTTTTAACACTAGGAAGCTGATTCTCATTGAAAGATTATATGACAGGTTTTACAAAAAGTAGCGACAGCTCCAACATGCAGAACAACATGCTAGCTCAAACAGTGGATAGGATTTCAATGAAGTTATAGGTATTATAATAACAAACTAATTACAACTAGTAGCATAATGGAGAGAGGAGGATGGACACCGGTGACCCGGAAAAGAAGGCCAAGATATCAGCAGATTCACTATAGGGGTGTACGCTTCATCACGATTTTGTCGACAATCTGCCGGAATCTATGGTGTCACGAAGTCTTTTTAATCTGTTTAGTAGCTATGGTGTGGTAAAGGACGTATTCATCCCAAATAAAAGGAGGAAAGCTACTGGTTCAAGATTTGGTTTTGTTCGGTATGACTGCTCTACAGTAGCAAGGGTAGCAGTCCAGAAAGCGGATGGAATATGGTGCGATGATAAGAGTTTGAAAGTGAGATTGGTAGAGTTTGGAAGCAATGCTCAGTGTCCAAAGAAGGATGAGGCTAGAAAAGGGAAGAGTGCACAGACGGGGCAATGGAAGCACGGTAAAATTACATCAGGGTACAATGGTCAGAAATCTTTTGCTGATGTAGTCCAAGGTATACGAAAGGAGAATACCGTGAAAACCATAAATGTACAGAGGTTGGAAATGGATGGCTTTATGAAAGTTTAGTAATTAAGCTCAAATCCTTCTTCTCCTTTAATGCTTTCAAAGAAGAGTGCAATAAACGAGGTGTAAAGGAGGTATACATAAAGGATGGTGGTGGTCGGATAGCTCTTCTATCTTTTCAGTTAGTGGAACATCTGACGGAGTAGAAGGGTAGATTAGAGGATTGGATTTATGAGTGGTGTGATTCTATGGACGAATGGGAGAGGGGCAAGGTTATTCAACAAGAAAGGTGTGTGTGGCTGGTTTGTCATGGCATTCCTTTTAATCTTTGGAATGTTGGCACCTTCAAGGCGGTGGGTAACATCTGGGGAGAAGTTGTTCAACAGGATGAAGCCATGAGCTTTCCGAAGTCTTTTGTGTGTGGTAAAGTGAGGATTATTACTAGTAGTTGTGAGTTTATTAATCAAGTGATCCTTTTAAATTGCAACGGGCAGCAGCAGCCAGTAAGGGTGATTGAAGAGTCATTTTTATCGGAAAGTCTAAGACCTGGGGAGTGCAGGTATCAGAGTTCTGAGGGTTTACTCTCAAGCTCCGGCAGTCAGAGTGCCATGAATTCCAGCGTCAAAGATGGAAGGGTGGTGGTAGGCATAGAAGGTGGTAGTAGGCCTGATGAGGCAGCTTCTAATGATGTGGTAAGTGTAGTGCAAGACACAGTTGAGGGGACTACACACGTTATGGAAGAAAGGGTCAGGAGGGGTGGTTCAGCCCATGGTAGGGATGTTAGGAGCTGGCTTGGAAAATTCAAAAAATGTGGGCAATAGTCATGATGATGTTTTGAAGAGTGTAGGCGAAGTTTCAAAAGAGGTGGCTGTGCAGCCCCAATTTTTAGTTGGCAGTAATCATATGGATGGGTGTTTGAAGAGCCTAAGTGGGCCTGAACTTACGAGGCCTAATTTTAATTTGAAAGTTGTGATTCCTAGAGCCCAAGGTGGAGATTGCCTTATTAGGCCAGTTGGGCTTACTTTATCTAATTTGAGTGACTGTGTGGCCAGTTCATAGCTCCTTGCCAAGAGAGCCCAATTATGTATGCAGACTGGTGAGGGTAGTTCAGGTCAGGTTAGGGGGGAAATTGCTCCTATCTGTAAAGGCCAGGTCGTTGTAAGGAGGAGTGGTGCAGCAAAAAAGGGTGGTAAGGCTCTTCAGAAAGGTAGAATTCTACCTCAAAGCTTCAATAGGGGTGCCATTTTCAGAGCAACTGTTGCTGCAATTTCTAGCTCACACTCGGCTTTCAGTGAATCAAGCAGAAGAAAGGGCAAGCTGATGAAGGAGGCTAAAGCAACAATACAACTTGGAAAAAAGTTAGGCATTGATTTTGGTGGAAAGGAGGATAACGTGGCAAAACAGATTGTATAGTTGGAAACCCGAGATTTGGAGAGGATTACAGATGGGGTTCGGGCAGATGAAGTCTGATTACCCAATAGAGGAGTTTAGGTGTTTTAAAGTCTGTCTTATGAAGATAATGTCTTGGAATGTGCGTGGTCTAAGTAGGCCAGAGAAAAGGAGTAAAATTAGGAACATGTTAAAAGAAAGAGGGGTGGATGTGGTGTTAATTCAAGAAACCAAGAGAAGAACTTTGGAGGTAACTCTCATTAAATCTATTTGGCCTTTTGATAAAATGGATTATATGGGAGTAGATGCTGATGGCAGGGCTGGAGGTCTACTGTGCATCTGGCATCCTGCTAGATTCAAGGTTGTTGATTGTTGTGGCTCCAGAAATTTTATTATTTTATCAAGTATCAGTGGTCAGTCCTTTGAATGCTCTATGGTGAATGTCTATGCTCCCAACGATGTTGGCAAAAGAAGACAATTATGGGAATCTTTAAAGAATCTGAAAATCTCATACCCGAATCCTTGGTGTATGGGTGGAGATTTTAATGAGATTAGATTCCTCAGTGAAAGGAAGGGGTGCTCCAGGAGGGATAGAGGTATGAATGATTTTAATGAGCTGATTGATCAGTTGAACCTTGTTGATTTGCCAATGAAGGGAAGAAGATTCACGTGGTGTAATGCACAAGATGGGAAGAGATGGAGTCGGATAGATAGGTTGCTTCTGGAGAGTAGGTGGCTTGAGCAGTTCTCCTTCAAGCAGTGGGGACTGCCTAGAACAATTTCTGACCACTGTCCTATCATAATAATGGAGGATGAAAGGAATTGGGGCCCAAAACCTTTCAAATTTATTAATGCTTGGTTACTTCATCCTAATTTCATATTAGTAGTGAAGAGCTCATGGGAGGTACAAGTTCAACCGGGTTGGGCGGGGTTTAGATTGATGAGAAAGCTTGCCTCACTCAAAGTCAGTCTTCGAAGATGGAATGTAGAGGTGTTTGGTCATGTGGAAATAGAACTTAAGAATGCGGAAGAGGATTTACGCATTTTGGATTTGGTGGCTGAAGAAAGAGCATTGTCAGAAACAGAAGCAAATTCAAGGAGAGAAGTTAGAGGGCTAGTTTGGAATTTGCATAGAAGGAAGGAGAGTTTGTGGCATCAAAAATCTAGAATGCTGTGGGCTAAGTGTGGGGACAAGAATACAAGGTTTTTCCATATGATGGCTAGCTCTAGGCAAAGTAGAAACCTCCTTGATTCGGTTGTGGAAGATGGGGTTAGGGTGGTGGAACCTAGCTCAATGAAGATAGTTGTTCATAGGCATTTCATGAAATTATTCTCTGAGTCTTCGAGCTCTAAGCCTAAGCTTCTTGGCCCCTTTGCATCCATTTCTTCTACTGGGCAGGTAGAAACCTTAGAAGCAGTATTTTCAGAGCAGGAAATTTGGGCTGCGGTTAAAGATTGTGATGGTAACAAGGCCCCGGGTCCAGATGGTTTCAGTTTGGCCTGTATTCAGAAATGCTGGAAGATAATGAAGGGTGAAGTTCTTCAATTTATGGATGAGTTTCACTCTAATGGGAAGATTGTCTCAGGTCTTAATAGCTCTTTCATCACCCTCATTCCTAAACGGGTGGATCCTTGTGAGTTAAGTGATTATAGGCCCATTAGTCTTGTTAACTCAGTTTACAAAATTCTTGCTAAAGTGCTATCAAAAAGGTTGAAAAGAGTGTTGCCACGAATCATTAGTGAAGTTCAAACAGCTTTTTTGGGTGGCAGATCTATTCTTGATGGTGTTCTGATAGCAAATGAAGTAGTACATTGGTGGAAAACTGCAAAAATGAGAGGCATCATATTAAAGTTAGACTTCGAAAAGGCATGATTGTCTTTTTCAATTTGGAAAGCTAGGAATGATTGTCTTTTCCCTCAAAAGAGTGTTGATGGGTTTGATTTGGCTGAGTTGGTGAAAGTGAGGATAGCTTTGTGGTGCAAGCATAGCTATGGAGGTTTGCAGTATTCTGTGGAAGACATTGTTTATAATCTGGACAGAATTAAAGTCTGAATGAGGTCCAGGTTTGCAGGTTTTGTGTGTTTGTAGGGCTGCAGTTTGGTTTGTTTGATCTGCTGAGGTGCTGGGGTTTGGGTGGTTTTGTGTTGCTGGGGATTGCTGGGCTTTGGGATGTTTTGTGCTGCACTCAGATTCTAGTTTTGCTGGGGTGTGGGATGTTCTGCAGTCTGGTATGTTCTATTTTGAACCAGGAGCAGAGTGGAGGTCAATAGCAAGGTTTGTTCAGGTTTTCAGCAAGGAGCTAAGTGGAGGCCGGTTTGTGTGTGTTGAGCTGGTTAGAGTATGGCTGTGGTGCAATCCTCCAAATGGTGTATGCTACAATTTAAACATTTTGAAGGAATCCTCTATCTATGCTGTTCTGCTGTTGGTTTGAGGGTTGCAGTTATCGGGTTTTTGAGCTGACCTTCAGTTTGCTGTTATGCTCTTGGATTGCTTGTTTGTCAGGTTTTGTTCTGTTTTGCCTGTTTCTGCCGTGTTGTTTTTATTCTTTTTCTTCTTCTTCTGTTGGTTTCTCACCAACTAGGAGGTTGGAGCTTCGCTTAGCTCCAAGCTCCTCTTTATTGATGTTTCCTCATTACTCTGTTTGGTTTTCATCAATAAAGTTTTTTTGTTTTACCGATCAAAAATAATAACAAACTGATTCATGAAATTCACCTGGCTGAAAATCAAAAAGCACCTTCCATGTCTTGCGATCCAAATTATAAGAAATGAAATTGCCATAAATATTAAACACCAGTGCAAAATCTTTTTCATTTGCCCCCTTAACAATACACACCACAGAAAATTGGTGAAATTTCTCAGGGAAAATAGATTCTATAGGTCTCAGATTGACCCAGTACTTCACTTTCCAACAGTAGTAGTCCTTGTCCATCTCAAGAAATCTGAATCTCAATGGCAAAACCTGTCGATTCTGAATAAGAAACAAATGACCATGACATTCACCAAAATACAGAATCTTATCATTAGAAAGAATTTTAGGGTATGGAGGCATTGGAGTTCGTGTCAGATTCTTAGCATCAACGTCAAATCGAATGTAAAGGTTAGTGGAATTCATCCAATGAATAGCTCCATTCGAAAACACCCTGCGTCTCAAGGAGTGACCTGGTGGTGCAATGACACGAATGTGTTTCCAACATGCACTCTCCGATGAGTAGATATCAATTACATAAGAACTTCCAGACCTTCCACGAAGATCAAAAGAGTAATGAACCAATACAACCTTGTAGTGAGTTGATTTTGAAGGGTCAAAAGCTAAGTAAGCACCAAACTTGTGATCTAAAAATCTAGATAAAGTGTCGGCAGGTTCAGGTAGTGTAGTGTATTTTTGGGTGGTCGGATTACAAACGATGTAACGTTTTTCGTAAACCTTGGAGCACAAGAGTAAGCTATTACAGGATCGTACAATCCTAGGTGTAGATCCTTCTCCAACACCATTGAGGAAGGCGAGTGTTGGAAGACTTGAGTGGCTGTGAAACAAGACAGAATTAAGTTCCTTGAACATCCGAAGTTTGCAGTAGAAATATATGCCTGAGATCAAGGAATTGTTATTTCGGCGGGTGTGGTTGTGGGAAAATTGTGAGTCAGAGATGAGAGAGAGCCAATGCTTAGATACACACTTGAATCTGAGGAGTGACTTTGCCGACACATGTAAAAGGATCTCTGTTAGAAGATCAACATTGTTGGCAACTACTTCTACCGCTAGTGAGTCTTCCAATGATGTGGAGCCAATAACTAGCTTTCTTCTTTTGTTGGATACTTTCTCGGTGATTTTTTCCTGTACATAACCCACAAGAAGATCAGAATCAGGGAATGTGCACAGATGTGATGCGTATGGTAATATGAAGACGAAGAAGGATCTAGTTATGTAACTATCTTCCATTGCTTACAATTTATGTAACAAGCTTAACTACTAATAATTGTCTAATTCTCAACTCAACTCCAATAAACTCCTATCTTAGCTGCAGTAATCTTCATTATGTAACAATGTGATGACAGGAAAGGGCAACGGGTTGGGGTTTTTAGGGTTTCGAGCTCAAATCCTCCATTTTAAACTCTACTAAAATATATATAGGTATTTAGGGGTTGTTTGAAATCTCCTAAATAAGTGTATTTTTTTTACTTTTTGAACTAAAAAGTAGAGAGAAAAAAGACGACTATTTGGGATAACTTTTTGATTTTTTACGAAAAAATGTATATTAAAATATTATATAAAATAAAAAAATTACCATTTTACTCCTACTATATGTAAATACCTACTAACTTGGATTGTATTGCATGTCAATCGGTTGGCAGCAAACATTATAGGGGCAGATTGCCTACAGTCCAAGATTGGACTAGACGATGCTGTTCGGCCCGTGAGGCCCCATCATTGGTCCCGTTTTGATAATCGAAACGGTTCAATGTGTAGAACTCAATATGATTTTTTATATGCATAGTGTATCCAATGAGTTCTACACATTGAACGGTTCAGATTATCAAAACAGGACCTGTGATGTCCTCCACGAGCCGAACAAAACTGTCCTGTGCAACTTTTTTGTGCACCGCCGGGTAAAATTTGTAGCATCAGTTGACAGTGTACCATCACTGCACATTGTCCTGTGTAACAGTACTGTCATGATTTTTTTATATATATTTTTGTGAATAATGATAATTTTTAAACTTTTTTTTAGTAAATTTTTGACTTTTTATCTTATTTAAGACATGCCAAACTAGTCCTTACTGTAGTGGAGCAAACGGTTTGGAATGCAAATTATAAATTTTAAAGTTTAATCCACGGTTAGCGGATAGAGTAGTGTAGATTGATGCGAACTGATGTGATTTTAACGGATTAGATAATCCATATATCAACTCAAGCTTTTTACTCAAACCTGTATATTAAAAAGTTACTCAACCCAAATACAGATTGACCGTAGGAATCGTAGGTGAAGGAACCGGAGGCGTAAGTGGGATATGGGACTAGGGTTACAGGATGAAGAGGGTGGGATGGTTGTTTCATGGAGTGACTCGCTAGAAAGCATTGTTCACGGTGGAAGAAATTTCATTGCCAACACACGAAAACCACACCTGAGATTGGGAAGTTACAACCAGAGCAATCGATTCCGATTTTTACCATTTTTGGGAGTTTGAGGAGGGTTAGATTGTGGGGGTGATTAAAATGCTTCTCCTTGAAGCTCAAGTGTTTAAATGATATAAAAAAAGAAAAAGAAAAAGAACATAGGCCTATTGGAAAACCCTCCCAAAACCTTGATATAAAGGACCAAAATAATAGCATTTAAAACAATATTGATAACTATTTCAGACATTACTGTAAATGAATATAATATATATACATACGCACCAATATAAATCTAAAAACTCAAGAAGTAGAGGAATTCACAGAGAAAAGTGAAAACTCACAATTTTATATAGAATTTTTTTTCCTTGGTTTAAAAAAACATATAAAAAAAATCAACACAGAAGCAAATTATTGAGAGAGAGAGAGAGAGAGGATTTACAGGGAAGAGAGACACTTTGCCTATGGGATGGTGGTGGAGGGAGTAAAAGAGGGAGTCTAATAATTTGTGCAGGTTTTCTGATGGTATAGAATGATATTGTTAGGATTTTCAAAGTATAACTGGTGGGTTGTGATTGTATAGAATATATAGGGAAGATTTTCAAAGTATAATCGATATAGGTTTTGAAGCTAGATTTCATGTAAAAGTTGAATTAGGTTTTTGAGTTTGTCTAGGTTTGTGAATAGAGAGAAATATTATGTATTCCTTCTATCTTAAAATAATAGTCTCTTTTAGAAAATCTAACTTTTTTTTTATAGTACAATTACTGCACTTTAAAAAAAAAATTAATTTTTCAAAATTACCGGTTCAAATTTTTAAAGATGCATCGTGAACCCTATATACAGTCCATGTTCAGATTTTTATTTTATTTTTTTAATAGAATGTTGATATCCCCCAATTTAAGAGTCCGTCTATCATACACATCGTTTTTTGTGTTGTGGTATTGATAGCAATAGGCTCTTCAAATTAGCCAATGAATTGAAGCATCAAACCAAATTGATTTCTTAGGGATGAGTTGGATTGGGTTAATTTTTGAGTAAATTGATTTAGTTTTGAGTCTTTAAATATCAAATTAATACCAACCAACGGCTCCAAAAGGCCATCCTACAAGCCAAAGGTGCCTACTTTTAAGTTCGATGGCAAATGCTTCAACTGTGGAAGTGACGGGCATCGGGCAGTTGATTGTCTAAAGAAAAAGCCCTACAGGAAAAACCCTCCCCAACACAAAAACCGGGCACATATGGCTGAAATGGAGGAATTGTCACACGATGTGGACGACATGCATTTGTAAGCCGTCGTGTCAGAAGTGAACATGGTGGGGTCAAACCCGAGGGAGTGGTGGGTGGACACTGGGGCCACTTGCCATATTTGTGCAGAGAAGAGAATGTTCACAACTTTCGAACCGGTTTCAAACGGGGAGAAGTTGTTTATGGGAAACTTTTCAACCTCAGATGTTGAGGGTAAACGCATGGTGATCCTGAAGATGACTTCAGGAAAAGAACTGACTTTGAACGATGTCCTTTTTGTGCCGGACATTCGTAAGAACCTTGTCTCGGGGTCTCTCCAAAGCAAGCATGGCTTCCGCATGGTGTTTGAATCAGACAAGGTCGTGTTGACCAAGGGCGGGGTCTATGTGGGGAAGGGATATATGTCAGGTGGTATGTTTAAATTGAATGTAATGACACGTATCCCTAAGATTAATGAGAAAGCTTCTTCTTCTGCTTATATGCTTGAGTCCCCTAATTTATGGCATGGTAGATTGGGTCATGTAAATTTCGACTCTTTACGTAGATTAATCAAGTTAGATCACATACCATCTTTCAAGATTAATCCACAACACAAGTGTGAAACTTGTGTAGAAGCAAAATTGACAAGGTCTTCTTTTCATTCTATTGAAAGAAGTACCTAGCCTTTGGGTTTAGTGCATAGTGATGTGTGTGACTTGAAAGTTGTACAATCACGTGGTGGCAACAAGTACTTCATCACTTTTGTTGATGATTGCACTAAATACTGTTATATGTATTTTGCTTAAAAGCAAAGACGAGGCTATTGATAAATTTATTCTTTTTAAGAATGAAGTTGAGAATCAATTAAGCCGGAAAATCAAGGCATTGAGAAGTGATCGCGGAGGTGAGTATGAATCTCCGTTTGCCGAGACTTGTGCTCAATTTGGGATTATTTACCAAACCACAGCGCCTTATTTGCCTCAATCAAATGGTGTTGCTGAGCGGAAGAACAGGACGCTGCAAGAGATGATGAATGCAATGTTGATAAGTTTTGGGTTGCCACAGAACTTATGGGGGGAAGCAATTCTCTCCGCGAATTATATTCTTAATAGAATACCATGGAAGAAAATGGACAAGACTCCATATGAGTTGTGGAAAGGTCACAAGCCTTCATATAAATACCTACGAATGTGGAGGTGTCTTGCAAAAGTGGCGGTCCATACACCCAAGCGGGTTAGGATAGGTCCGAAAACCGTGGACTGTATTTTCATTGGTTATGCACAAAATAGTAGTGCATATAGATTTCTTGTGCACAAGTTTGATATTTCAGATATACACAAGAATACTATCATGGAATCTAGAAGTGCATCTTTCTTTGAAGATGTATTTCCCTGTCGTCCCCAAGACAGGGTTCCGAGTTCCATGAAAGAAGTAGATGATCACGAAGACGATCACATAGATGATCACATGGATGATCAAACAGCTGATCAAATAACTGATCAAGTAGATGATCAAGCTGATGAAGTAGATGAGCCAAGAAGGAGTAAAAGGGCTAGAACCACAAAGTCTTTTGGACCAGACTTCTTGACTTATATGTTAGTGGGAGAACCTCGAACGTTCCATGAAGCTGTGACTTCACCTGAAAGTCCTTTATGGAAAGAACCAATTAAGAGTGAGATTGACTCCATCTTACAGAACCATACTTGGGAGTTGGTTGATCTACCCCCAGGCAGTAAGGCCTTGGGGAGTAAGTGGATCTTTCGAAGAAATATGAAAGCGGATGGGTCGATTGACAAATATAAAGCTCGGCTAGTTATCAAAGGATACAGATAGCGAGAAGGCCTGGATTACTTTGATACGTATTCACCTATGACAAGGATTACATCCATTCGCATGGTGATTGCAATAGCAGCTTTACGTGGTTTAGAAATACATCAGATGGATGTAAAGACAGCTTTCTTAAATGGAGATTTAGATGAAGAAATCTACTTGGAGCAACCCGAGGGGTTTTCAGCTCCAAGAAAAAGTAAGAAAGTCTGTAAGCTTGTCAAGTCATTGTATGGTTTGAAGCAAGCTCCCAAACAATGGCATGAGAAGTTTGACAATGCTATGTTGTCAAATGGGTTTTGAATAAATGAGTGTGATAAGTGCGTATATGTTAAAGACACTGACAAAGGTTATGTCATTTTGTGTCTATACGTTGATGACATACTCATTGTTGGTAGAAATGATGAAATGATTAAAGTTACCAAAAGATTGTTAAACTCTAAGTTTGACATGAAGGATATGGGCCTTGAAGATGTCATTCTGGGTGTTAAGATCACCAGAACATCTGGTGGTGTTGTACTTTCTCAAGCTCATTATGTTAATAAGATACTTGAGAAATTTGGAAAGTCAGATACAAGAAGGTTTAGGACACCGGTAGACTTAAGTCTATATTTGACCAAGAATAATGGTGAGAGTGTCTCTCAACTAGAATATTCTCGGGTCATTGGGAGTTTGATGCATCTGATGAGTTGTACAAGGCCGGATATCGCCTACGCTGTTAGTAGGCTGAGTAGATACACGAGTAATCCTAATGCTACTCATTGGAAGGGCAT